GTGCCGCCGGCCGCAAGCGCCCCGCACACCCACTTCGGCACATCTCTCACACGTTTCGTGGCCCCATAGGGAGCAGGCCCCAGCGCCGCCGCCCACATGCGCCCTGCACACCTATTTCGGCCACCGAATGCCCCAGTGCCGCCGCCCGCATGCGTCCCACACACCCAAGTCGGCACACCTCTCACACGCTTCGTGGCCCCATAGGGAGCTCCACCGAAGGCCCCAGTGCCGCCGCCCGCATGCGTCCCGCACACCCACTTCGGCACATCTCTCACACGTTTCGTGGACGACCTGAAGCGCCACGACGACAGCTTCACGGGGGACCTCGCGGGCCCGCTGGTGTTCATCGAGCCCCGCACGTCGGAACCGTTCACTTTCCGCGCCTCCAAGGTCACCCGGACGGGCTTCCGGTTCTCGCACGGCAGGGCGATCACCACGGCGGCGTGCCAGGGGCGCTCCATGCGAGAAGGCGACGGGGCGAGGGATAGGCGCTCCGGGGGCGGCCAGACCTCCAGGGCGCGAGCAATCCGCAGCCAGACCTCGGTCCTGTGGAGTCTCGCCCTGGGCCGTCGGCTGCCTGGCGCACCGCTCCCTCGGCCGGCGTCGCCCAGGCGTGATCCTGGACTGCGGCCGCCACGAGGTCGGGAACGGCAAAAAGGAGGACGACGACTGGTGGCTGGAGCTCTACGCGCTGCTCTCGCGCGCCACGCGCCGCGAGGACCTCCTGCTCATGCGGGCGCCGCGCATCGAGTTCTTCCTGGCCGGGCCGCCGGCGGGCTTCGGGAAGCAGCTGGAGCAGTTCGCGGCGCGCACGAAGCGGTGCAGGAGGGAAACCACGGCCCTCGCCAGGGAGCTCGGTCTCACCGAGTTTGTCCGCGAGGGCTGACCTGAGGAGCGGCCCGCCCCAGCGGCGCCCTCTCTTGGTTGTCCGACCGTTTGGCCTCGCGTCGCGGACGAGCCGCGCGCGTCGCTAAGACCCTCTCGGGGCGACCATCGCGCGTCGCGCGAACTCCGCGCTGCGCTCTGCCCAGCGCCTCGCTCGCCCCTCGTCACTCCGCCCAACGGCCATTGCCATGCGCGCTATCAGTTAGCCTGCAAGCATTCTCTGCTCCGCACAGCGGACAAACTGCACAAGTCACTGCGACCCTTTCGTGGCGACCTGCGCGCGTCGCGGGGGCCATGCGTAGCGTGTATCCGGGCAAGTCCACGGAGTCACCGCCAGCATAAAAAAGATTAGCCGCGTCTTGTCGTGTCAGCGGGGGGAAACAGAACGAGGACGAAGGCAACGCAGACAGACTTCAGTCTGTCGGCGGCGCAATCATTCAGAGATGGAGAGCACTGGAGGCTCGCGACCCTCGGAGAAGCGATGCCTACACAAGCTGAGCTCCCGATATAACTGAAAGTGCAAAAAAACTGTGCACCCCACTGGAAGGAAATCGCCAAGAAGGACCATTGCAATCCACTGGCAACTGAGACGTGTTTAAATGCGTACCGCAGAATGGAGGAGGCGGAGGAAAGAGAGAGGACTCGACGCTGAGCGCGTGCTCGACGAGGCTCCCCTGGAAAAAAGGGGGGTCGGAGAGCCTGGGCCCGTCAAAAGCCTCCTCTCTACTGCAAGCGGCGCGTGGGCCAAGTATCCGGCACGACGAATGATCTGTGCAGGAGCGCACCGTGCCTCATCCAACGGCGGGGGAAGCGGAGGAGGAGAACCCGAGAGGGGAGGAGGAGAGGGAGGATTAAGACATCATTCCGCTGCGCGCGGGCTCGGGGCGGTTCCTCTGTGGAAGGCGGCCAGCGAGTCCCAGCAGCCCTGTTTCGACCTCTTTTCACTTGCAGCCGGCGCGGACGCCAATTATGAGCACGGCGCTCAACCGCCATGGGCGCGCGCCGCTACTCGACCCAAGGAGGAGGCGGAGGAGGGAGGACGGGAGAAAAGGGGAGTGGGGGACATACGTAGGCGTGGCCCTGAAGACCCTCTTCTTCTCCCAGGGCCTCTTTTGGAGCTCTTTAATAAAAGAACTCCAAAAGAGCTCTTCCCCGGAGGCCCCCCAGAGCCTGAGTTTCCTCTCCTTGTCCTATCCCTGTCCTTGTCCTGATCCCCCTTCTCCGTGGCGAACTGGGCGGAACCGGAGCGAAACGCATGGCGAACCGGGCCGAACCGGACGGAACTCCTCAGAATGACGAACCGAACCGAACCGAACCGGAGAATTCCGACACCGAACCGAACCGAACCGGACGCACTTCGGAACCTAACCGAACCGAAACGAACCGGACCCTTCCTGTTTTATGCCTCCTTGGGGTTTCTTGGGGGCCTGTTGAAGCTTTCTGGGGGTGTCCTGGGGCGAAGAGATATCGGGTTCTCGGTGCACGTTCCCGATCCTGGGCCGCGGACGGGGCCCTCTCGGGCCGCCTCAGGCATCGTTTCGACCGTTTTAAAAGCCGCCGCGGGGGCCGTCTTGGGGCGCTTTGGAAGCCGAGTGCCCGTCTTGGGGCGATCCTC